TAGTGATTTTAACAAATAAGATGCAAAAATGTAATTAGTATCAAAATTAATTAATTACTCTGACCAATTAATTAATCTTCTTTTTTTTAAGAAATATTGGAAAATTTAAAATAAGTCAAATTATAATTATTTGATTTAAAGAAATATTAGTTTGCAGTTGATTTTTGTTAAAACTTGTAAAAAAAATCTTGATGGCAAATGTACGAATATTATATGTAATACAGTAAAGTTTTATATAAAACACAGAAAAACAGAATCTGTTAAAGTTTCTGGACTCTGCGGGAATAGCGTTAAATGCGAAATTCGTGCAATAAACTTCGCAGAGGAACGAGAACCGAAAAGCGCACCATAATAAAACTCGCAGTTTATTTCCGTCGCGTTAATTAGCATTCGTATATATGTATATGCATAAAAAAAATCCAGCTTTGGCAAAGAAATCGGATATTGCCGTTCGACCGCAACTGTTTCTTTCATTATCCATCGATTTTATGCATGATTTTTTAATCACACTTATTAATTATCGATAAGTGCGGAATGGAAGAAGTGAAGAATGTCTTCTCTAAAGGATGGAAGCATTTTTGGATGCGCATTTTGAATAAAATTACGCGTGTGTAATAAAATTTCAGCGAAACATTTCACGTTGATCACACCCTGTTATTTTACGCGGAAAGTTTGATTGATATCTGCGAAGGCGATCTTAATGTGCCTCAAAAAATCGTCCCTCGGCTCAAGGAAGGAAAGAACAGAATTTTAAAAAGAAAACAAAAAATATATATATAATATATAAGGATCGAGGACCGAGCCGAAATTATTCACGGAACGGAGGAGATTCGACGGTGGCGGCTATATCCAAAGATCCAGAATCACTGCCAAACCTAACCTAAAACAATACAATGCAACGTAAAATCATAACCTTTTGCACGTTATAATTAAAGATTGGTATCAATCAATCTTAAAAGAAAATAAAATATTTGCTGAATCTAAAATAAAATAACCCAAAATAAATTAAAAAAAAAACTAATTATAATTAAAGAAAGAAATTATTTCAACTTCTCTTTTGACGTAATTTAATCTAACCTGTTTAACTTAAATTGAATTTCTGTCAATGACATTTGTTATAAATGTCACATTTGACAGTTGTTTCATTGATTTGTCAATTTTGTCAACAATTAGATTGGTGCCTGTTGGATATTCGAGTATTCGTCGAGTAATCTTACTGAACCTAAAATAACAAAATAAATTGAAAAAAAAAACTAATTATAATCAAAGGAAGAAATAACTTCAATTTCTCTTATACCAAATTTAACCTAACATGTTTTACTTAAATTTAATTTCTGTCAAATATGACATTCATTATAAATGTCACATTTGACAGTTGTTTGAATTGTCAATTTTGTCAACGATTAGAATATTCGTCCAGAACAATCAATAACATTTGAAAATATGAACATAAATAATAAATATTAGTAAATTGAAAATAAGTAAACTTATATTTAATCAGTTCATTTATTTTTATTTGAATTAGTGTAGTGTAGTGTAGATGATGAAATAAAGTAATCTGTTTTACTTAAGAAAAGAAAAATATTATTAAAGGTATAGAAATTGTTTGTGATATGGAGAATTTCTGTTGTAGAGAAGAAACCTAACCTACTTTAACATAACCTTATGTAACTTTTGAGGTAGTTGTTTGGGAGACAAATAATGTAACGAGTACAAACCTAACGATGGATGATGAAAGGATGGAAGATGATTTTGAGCAGCTGCGGTGTTGGCTGGTGCAGCTATAATCCATTATCAAGATTTGGTATCGCCTTTGAATTTATGCGGTCGTCGTTGGTCGGGTGTGTTTGAGTGTGTGTATGTGTGTTGCGAATCGGATGGACCATAAGAATTCGTGGTTTACCGTTACTGAGTTTTCTCTCTTTCTCTGGGTTGAATCGCCGATTATGGGTATACGTACGTACCGTCCGGTCGGTGGGACGGGGATAATAAAATTATTAATTGCGGCAATAAAGAGTCCCGGGCACCCAATGCAAATCGGCGCAAATGTAATTGCGCAAATTTACGATTCAACCATACTTTTCTCTCTCTCCGTTTTTCTTCATTTTATTTTTTATTATTATTATTATGATTATCATTATACTCATCATTATTATACAATTTCGTCTTTCTCTCTCTCTCTACTTTTTCTTGAACAACACCTACATATCAAGCTATCCGCAAACAAAGTACGAACAGAAACAAACTGAAAATTAAGTTGTGTAGTTTTAATCGCGCCTCGCCAAATTGTATTACAGTAATTGCGCATTTGCCACGTCGCCATTTATCGTACAAATTAAACATTCCGCTCCTTCCCATTTCTTTTCTTTCCTTTTGGTTTTCTTCTCTCTCTCTCTCTCTTGTACTCCACCATTATTGTACCGCATAAAACACTAAATATGGTTATTCAACGATTACGTTCATAAAATTACTTATAAAGTAATGTCGTTTCCATTTACTCCTTGTTTCTCTTATCATCATTACTTCCTTAATTTACATTTCCAACGTAGCACTGCACCACTCCCAACGATATATCAAAGTAACGCTATCTTTATTAACAAATTGTCGATCATCACCTACTTTTATTGCTTGTTATTCATACATTGATGCAATCTTTACTACAGCAAACGACAATTTAAAACAGTTGGTATATTAACAAATTGAAACGTTACCGTTTTATTTATCGCCATATTATTCATGCTGAAGTTATATTAGTTTTCATTTAACATTCATAAAAACTGAACCATTAAATTGTATTAGTTTATTAATTGTTTTATTAACAAATATTTATTCGACCTATTGAAATCATCAATTTAATGAAATGACAAAATCTGTTTTAAATGTGAGTAATTTTGTAACTAATATATGTTTTTTTTTTAATTTTATATTGTAAATGAAAAAAAAAAGAATTTATATAATAATTTGATCGATGATCAAAGACGGCGATTGAATGTAAAACACATGTATCTTCTAGATTTCGTGAAACTTTTCTATCGAGTTTTATTCGGATTTATTGGACATGAGAAACGTTTCCGAGAAGTTTGTTGAAGGGGGAATTAGTGGAGGATGTTGATATCGAGATTACGGCGCGAAAGAATCTAAACATTCTTGTGGGGACCAGCTCCAATTTCTCACAGCCTTCTTCGACTGTACTCAAATTTAAAAAAAAAAACACACACACAAACATTATTATTTTTTTTCGTTCTTTTCGTGCAAAAACCGGCGATCGTTCGATGTTTTATTGAGGAAACAGCCATTTTCAAATAGTGATATCTCCAAATGATTTATTTTTTGGTTGAGATGAAAGGAAGAGTCAAAGAGAAAAATCATTATTTTCCAAACTCTTTTCAGTTATTATAATGAAATGCATCGGCCGGATTTCATCAAACATGTCGGTGCTTCAATTTATGAAAAGCGCTTTAATTGTTTTATTGCGACATTTGTAATTTAGTATTTGAACAAACTAAATTCAATTTTCTATAAAAATCCGATTTTGCATATTACCATTTTTTTATTCCGTAAAATATTTGTTTTTCAAGACTACTAATTTACTTTAAAAAATACTTTAATAAGCGTTAGCATAGCATTATTATTAGAAAAAATAAAATATATACAAAATAAATATAATTACTGTTAAGAACTATTTCTATGCTAGTTAATTATGTTAAATATAACTTGGCTTGAATTTGAATAATGAAAATTATTACAGGTTTCCGTTCTCGACGTAGCGTTTAAATCACCAAAGCGAATGAACGTATTTCATAACATTTTTTTTTTAGTTTAAACAAATTTAATCAATATCTTAGTAATTTACGTGAATCTTAAGTTTAAACATAAAATAATACAGCATATTATTAGAAGGTTTTGTTTCCTGAGCTAGTATTGAAATTACCAAAGGAAATTAAATTATCTTACTATTAACTAGTTTTTTTTTATATGTAATTTAATTTCAATTCAAATTGATTTGTGTCTGTTGGATTATTGAACGAATATATTTAAATTGTTTCGTATTATTATTATTTTTGAGTTTGGAATGCGAAATGGAAAGTGGCGATGTTGTCGTATTCTTCTTTTTTTTTTATTTTGCGCATACGATAATTGTGGAATCCAGGGTAAAAGTGCGTCGAAATCGTTCGGACCATAAATTAAGGGCCCTTATCTCGTGCGAGAGAGCAGCGAACCGGGGGCCGTGGATGTCTGTGGATGCTGGAGAGCGCCGACGATTTATCAACAACGCGACTGAACGGCTTCCAATTTGTCATTAGTTTATCGCTAATTGGACAAATAAGAGAAGCAGCGAAATAAAGAAAAAGCATCGAGTGAAGAGTTTAGCGATGGCTGGAGGAAGCTTTATTACCGATTCCAGCCAGCGTTTGTTTAACGATCGTAAAGCACCCTTAAAAATATATATGTATGTGTGTGTATATAATGATGCATGCTGTTCTTGAAGTTCGAAGAGTGATGCAGGCGAAAATAATAAGGACGAGAAGTTGGAGGAAGAGGAGAAGGAGGAGGATATAGTAGAGAATGTAAAGCGGCGGTGGTGATTTTGGTGTTGGTGGTGGTGGATATGGTGTATCCGGAGGTGCGTGGGGAGGGAGGAAAAAAAAAGAGAGAAGAGGAGTACAATAAGTGCCTATCAGTTTGTCGTGGATGGAACGATATGCATCTATCTCAGTCTGGGACACGGGAAATGCCGTAATCAACAATGAAAGATACCTGGGTCCGTCTCTCGGTTTGCATCTAGCCGTCTCGCTCCGTCCCGCACCGAATTCCACTAATAAATCCATACTAACTATTCCCAATGGTCTCGTCCTTCTTCTTCGCGCACGATGAATGCTAGCATCTTCCGTCGCTCTCGCACACCCGAAATATGCCAACTATGCGCGCTATCTCTCTTCAAGGATCATTGTTAAGTTCGAACCAGTACTCCTTTCCGAGCTCAGTCTCGTAACGGCCGCGGCGCAGACACGGCACGAACCCAGACCGACCGACCACAGAAGAACGAACGTTAGTACCATCACCATCAGCTTGCATTCAACATCGGTGCGTCTTCTTTGGGTGTTCGCGCGGGTGATGGAAACGTTGAAAAGATGGTGAATTACAACGATCTGTGTTGCGAGAGGCCCTCGAAGAACAACAATCTCATCTTGCCAATCTGGGATAAGGAGCTGTTGGATAAGGGCAGCAAGAAATCGCCTAACTATTGCCTTCTCAGCGTGTTCTTCGCCTTCGTCGTGGGCGTCTCCGTCGGAGTTTTCCTTCCTCTCATTCACACGCACTCAAAGAAGCCAACTCCAATCGTCGTGGTGGAACAATCAACGTCCTCATCGTTGATCCTCGAGGAAGGCGGTAATGGAAGCGCTTACGAAACGGTGTCTTTCGTGGATAGGATTTCGAGGACGGGGGCGTCGGTGGATGGGAACATCTACTGGAGCGAAAGCGTCGAATCGTCGCTTCCTGCAGGTTACGGAAGGGCCGCACACGAGCAATGGTCGGGGTATGTGCGAGGCGCTGTCGGAGTGAAATTGGAGAGAGGATGCGGACGCATGCAGAACCGATTGGTAACGTTCCAGGATGGTACCAGGGGCTGCGTTCGCTACCGCCAAAACACCGATCAAATCCAAGGAGAGCTCTTCTCGTTCTTCCTCGCTCAGCTCTTGGGCATCCCCAATTTGGCTCCATCCACCGTCAGCGTCGTGGATTTGAAGACACCACTCTGGTCCGGTCTTTCCGCCGAGATAGCATCCGCCCAATGGGCTACGAATCGACCCATCGTACTCACCAAGTTCATCCCCGATCTGGATTCATCCGGGATTCCGGCACTCTTCAGGCCTCTCGAGCGACATCTCAATCGCAACGACGTTCTGAACGTGTCCGGAGATGCCAGAGCTCTGGTCGAGTTAGCCCAGTGGTCCGACCTCATCGTCTTCGATTACCTCACAGCGAACTTGGATCGCGTCGTCAATAACCTGTACAATTACCAGTGGAACAGTAACATCATGGAGGCACCGGCCCACAATTTAGCACGTAAACTGGACACCGATCTTCTCGTCTTCCTGGACAACGAGTCCGGACTTCTACACGGTTACCGCCTGCTTGACAAGTATGAGATCTATCATACGATCCTGCTGGACAATCTGTGCATGTTTCGTAAGCAGACGGCCGATGCCATAAGGACCTTAAAGAGGGACGGTAATGTGGGCGATCTGCTGAGGACCATGTTTGAGAGGACGAGCGCGGCACCGGTGCGCGACGTCCTGCCGCCTCTACCACCTAAGAGTGTCAAAATTCTGAATGCGCGCATCGAAAAAGTTCACGCCCAGATCACCAAGTGCGAAGCCATCTTCGGCGACACGTAGCAACCACCTTCAACACCGTCTCTATCATCATCATCACCTCCACAACTATCGAATCATCCATGATATTTTTTTTGTTTGTTTTCCCGAATCGATTGTGAAATTGTTTATACCGCAGGATTTTAACGCAAACATGAACAAACGTTCATTCTCTCTCTCTCTAGAAGATTAACCTGTAAGTATATCCTAATTGTAATTACAAGCCACTATTCAATACGTTTCACACTAAAAAAGATGAAAAGAACCAAATTATTTTTGTCAAATTATAAATCGACTTTCAATAAGAGACAAATAATACATTTTTTGTGACACGGCACCAAATATTAATATTTCTCTCTTTAATTCATTGAATTATATATCACATACAACAAAAGTTTGAAATTAACAATTCTTTAAACAGCAATTTTCATAAATTAATTCAATGATAATATTAATTTCGATTAAAATCAAGATATTTTCAAAGTATTCTTTAATTGTAATATCAGTTGAATTGAGCAAATTCTCGTTCACTAAGAGAATTAACGTTAATTAAATAGTTACATTTCATGGATACAATTTGTCTGTTTCATAAATTGAGCTAAAACGTAACAATTTATACATTTTAATGGGTATTTTCATTTTATCCTTACAAACATTTCATTAATTATCGAATCTTTATAACAAACTTATAATACCTACATATTGATTACTTACTACAAAAATTTAATATAAAAAATTCAAGTTTCTTTTTAAATTCTGATGTGTTTTAAATTAACTTTGATTTGATAATCCTACTTAATGTTGTATGCTTTCCCATATTGAACATGTGTGATAGAACTATGGGGTTGTGAACATTATTTTTCGCTTGTTTGCAATAAATAATTTTCACTTTAAACTAAAGTTCCCCGACGGTTTCGAAGAGCGACGTTGAGACTTTTATTATCTGCAAAGCACGTAATTTCATCGGCCGCGAACCATAAATTCCTCGTATTCATTGCTTCGGCCTCTTCGGTCGAACGAAAAATGACACTCGGTGCTCGGATCGCCAGTATATTCATGACCTTCCCAAGATCCAACCCCCATCGGCCATATATCAAATTGCTATGGAAATACTCGTAAATTATTAGTATCAACATTCAATTTACCTGCTTGTTAAACAAAGTTAATATTTAACTAACAGATATGCACATACGTATTGTATGGAAAATATATTAATCATTTATTTATTCTTATTCACACCGTAATTAATTTTAATAACAAAATATAAATCAAATTTACAACAATCCTTTAAAAATAAACTATTTTTAGAAGTATTGAATGAATTCTTGAATCTTCTTTTGAAGTGAAATGAAAATAATATATAATTAACAAAGCAATGAAAATACCCGATTTGAGTGTATACTTTTTATGTGTAATAATATATTGATTATAGATCAATTTATCTGAATAATTTAATTAACGAGTATTTCAAGTTTACAATTATATAAAGCAGATGTTATTTTACTTACAACTTTCGGTTTAGTTAAATAAAATTAAACATCATTAAAATTAGAAGATGCCAATAAGAATCTTGATTATAGTTCGAAAAGACTCAAATCTAAAAAAAAATTGTAATTTTTGCGATGTTTTTTTGAGTTTTTTCTAAGAAAATTAAAGAAAAAAATGGTAATATGAAAAATCCTCGACTTATCAAAGTAACATATTGGAAAACGTATAATTGATTTTAATAATTAAAAATCTAATAATACTTACAGTAATTTTTTTCATAAATTTAAGGTGGAAAACTTCGTTTAATTGTTAGACTTAATATAATGAATATTGTGATTCGGGATTATTGAAAAGTGTTCGTTTTGTTGTTGTTATAAGTGAGAGATCTCTGAAAGCTGCTGAAGCGTATGAATAAATTTGGAATCGGTGGTCGCAGAATGCTGCATGGATGGTCGGCCGGGAATGCGCGCAAAATCCACACATTATACGCGCATAATGCAGTCGCCCATAATTACAATACAGACATACACACATTCACATATATATGTGTATACTTGCGCACACACACACATATCTATGCTGCGGTACGTCGTAAATTCAAAACGCAGCGCAATAACTCACGTTTATTATGATTATATTGTGACATTAATTTAATATTGCCATGTGCATGTGTGTGTGTGTGTGTGAAGTATCATATATAGAATTTTACGGTTTCATAGGATCAAGGGTGTTGTGCCCCTACGCGAAACAATTGCTTAGGAAAAATATGAATCGACCCAAATATTTTTGTTGTTGTTGTTATAAATAATAGTGGATGATGCTTTTGGCCAAAAACGTGAGAGTTGTAAATAATTATTGTTAACGGTACGCACATACGGCTCAGATTACGATCGAGACCCGACACAAATATGTTAAGTACATAATGGCTGTCTTCTATTATACAACCACGCGGTGGCAAGGATCTCGAGACTAAGAAAGAATGCATGTGTGTACGTATATATATATATATATATATGAAAGAAAGAGAGAAAGGTGGACGAAGATGAAAAAAATGGCTTGCTTGTAATCACAATGCAGATATAGATTTAAAGACCTATAGACGAAGAGAAGAAAGGACGAAGGAGAGCGAGTTGTAACAAAGTAAGAAGAACTTACAACAACAAAAAAAAGAAGAAGAAGAAGCGAAGTTCTTACAATTAAAAAAAAAGAATTTGTAATTTCTTCCGTTTCGAGGATAAACAATTTCACAACTGACCAACATTCCAGAGCGCAACAAGTTGAAGTGCGCCCTCCGGTTCTTTGTGGCTCTCTTCCATTTTGTTCCACGGCGGAGCGAAGCAAGAAAACCGGAGGTAAAAGAGAGAGAGAGAAAAGTTCCATGCTTGAGAGAATACGAGGGAGGGAGAAAAACAAAGTCGAGGCTCGTATAAAAATGAAGAACTTCACATTTACTATAATATGAATATATTAATATTCAAATTTGATTTAATAACCGATATATTCGAGAGTTATTTGACCTCTCTTGAATCCTCCCCGCCCCTCGTCTCTTCTTTTCAGATCCTCCTACTGCTCTTTTTTTTTCTTCTACGCGCGCTTTCTAAACTAAATATTTACTTTTGTGTACAGTGTAAACCAAAATTATCATCAATCTTCCACCCTATCCCTCCTCCTCCACTTTAGTGTATTTATTGTAACAATTGTATTCCCCCCCAAATTGTGATATTAGAATTTATCGTATTAATTACGTTTTACTTTTAAGTCTATAGATTAGTTATTTATCCTTGTATTAATCGAGCAGAAAAATTAAGCATAATTTGAAAATGAACGTTGATATTCTGCATTGATTAATTTTTTATTTATGTGATTTTTTCAACTATTATAATATTTTTGTTTTGTTTTGATTCTCTCGTAAGTTTTGTGTGCCTCTTTTGTAATAACTATAAACAAACTTGATCCAATGTTTGTGTTGTGTGAAAGTGCAATTTGCGCATTGAACCAAATGTTTGTACATATAAAACTTGTCTATTGAATATATATATATAAAAAAAAATGAATATATAGATTATATATGGTTGTAAATCAATTTACTTCTTTTGTAGATACCTTGTATATTATATTCCGTGTAGATCATAAATGATAAATAAATAAAATATTATGTTTGTTCAACGTAATCCGTCTATTTTTTTTTATTGGTGATTTTCAATTAACTCTTCCCATTTTTGCCTTTCCTCTTCTCCTCATCCAACTACTTCTTCATTTCTTATTTTTCTTTTTAATTGGAGCCCGTTTGTCGGCATTGAGTAACACATTTCCACGGAGAGACACAGAGCGAGCGAGATAGAAGGAAAGACACGAATATCATCATCCTTATTATTGCGCTCGTAAAAACGGATCCGAAATTGAATTTTAATACGCTTCTATTTGCTTCTTTAACGAGCGATCTTTTATTATTAACTTCATAAAAGTCATTAATTACGGTCATTGTGTAATTTCCAGAAACTCGCTCCGTTTCTGCTCACAACGCATATCAATCTCTCCGATACATCTTCTTTTCGTAAAGGTAAGTTTCTGTTAACAATCCATCTCCGAATCGGCAATAATTAAGTGTATACGAATACGTCAATTATTTTCCATGTCTTCATTTATGTTTATGTTAATTCCAACTCAATCTACATTGCTAATTATAGTAATTATTATTCATTAACATCATTCGCTACATTCCATAGCTGGATGTGATTTTTGTTGCTTAATTTATTATTTCAAAAGTCTGGACGTGGTCTACGGTGCTACGAACATTTAAAAAGTCTGGTGTGATCTGGTGTGTCTCTCTATGTAGGTTTCTTATGCATTAAAACCTCTTCACTTTTTTGACTAGTCCTGGATATCTCAAAACTAGGGCTTCCATTTTTTTTGTAACGTTCATTTTATACACAACCTGCCAATAAGTAGAATATGTTTGGGCAGTGGACAAAAAAAAGAAAATAAAAACAGAAAAACTAAATAAAATAGGCGGTGAGCGGAATAATCGCACTCTGAGCTCGTATCACACGCACTGTTATCTCCTGGAATGTTTTTGCTAGTCTCTTCGCTGGCTGATAACTCGACTCACCGGCCGAGTGTTGTGATGAAATAACGTCGCTATCCATAACAGGGCGACTCCCCTATTAGGGTCTAGCACACTGTTATCTTCCTACCCTTATTTCGCTTCTTTTTTTGTGCAAAATACAGCAATTTAACATTCCAAATACTACACTGCTTGGAACGATTCAATACTGAATGAAGAATCTGACGAGTGGAAAATTATTTCGTCAATCCCTAAAAAATGATTTTTTTTATTGCTAAATTGTCTACTATACTAAGCAGGCAATTAAAATCAAAATTAATTTTGCATTTCGCAACTTTTTGGATGTTGTCCAATGTTTACACAATTTGTGAAGAATCTTTTTGAATTTTTCGCACAAAATAATTATAGAAAAATATGAATTGCAAAAAGTTTTAGTTGAGCGTATTTGAAAAAGTGCTATGTGCACGAAAGGTTTGAGATTGAGCACCGAATTCAATTAGTGCAGATTTATCTGGTCGCATTTATAGGGGGTGTAATAAGGAAATTAGTTTTCAGGCCTGAAAATCTAATAAAGCGTCCGGTCGCACGCATCCCGCACTTAATTCCTTGCAGTATTAGCATTACTTTATGATTATTATACACGCATAGAGTGCATCTCTTGGTTTGATAGATGACCCATAAAGGTTTTATGCAAAACATTGATGCGCCGACACAGTGATAACTCAATGCCGTCTTTTTATTCGCTGCATTTGCTGCCATAAGGAACGATACAAAGTTGCG